TACAACATATACACTCATGATTTAGACAGGTATTTAGGTAATGGAGTTTCTATTTTGCAATATGCTGACGATGTTCTTTTATATGTTGAATCTAATCTAAGTGACCAAGCCGTGAATGTACTATCAAATAAATTGACATTGTTAAAGTGCTGGTTAGATTCGAATGGTCTAGAGTTATCTGCTAGCAAAAGCTCCATTGTGTTTTTCTCAAGGCGTAAAGTTCATCCTGTAATAAATGTTTCTTTTAATAATAACCTAATCCCTGTTGTTGGCGAGGTTAAATATCTTGGTATTCTTTTTGATTGTAAAATGAATGGATCTCCTCATTGTAATTATGTTGTTAATAAATGTGAAAAGGTTCTTAACATGCTTAGATGTTTATGCGGGGTCTGGAGGGGCAGCCATTCGTACTCTTTAAAATTGCTATATAATGCTCTTATTAGGAGTATAATTGACTATGGATCTTTTATGCTAGAGCCATGTGTCTTGTCTAATCTTAAAAAGTTAGATAAGATTCAGTCGAAGGCCCTCAGAATAATAACCGGTGCTATGAAATCAAGTCCGATAAATGCGATGCAAGTGGAGTGCGTTGAACCTCCGCTTGCCCTTCGTCGACAGTTTTTAGCTGATAAATTCTTTTTCCGCATTATCCAATTTAATCGTCACCCTTTGCTGCAAAAACTTGAGCTATTAAACAATCTAATAAATATAATTTATTAGATATATATAGATAGATAGAGTGTATATAATTTATTAATACCCCCTGGTTATTGGTCTCACAAAAGTACTCCTTGCCTTATAAATAGTTTTAGAAAAAAGAAAGTTTTGACACTCACCCACTATACGGTAGTAATTATGAATACCTTATTTTGCCCCCTGACGTCTGTTTTGATTTTAGTGAAGTTAACAGACGTTTTGCTAACGCTTCCTTTAACTTTAACTTAGATATTAATTGGCATTCCTACAACCATATTTTCACTTCTCTACATTTCATTCTCAATACAATATTATTCAAAAAACAAAGCTTCCTCCTGAAACATCCTTTTTCACTGGTGAATGCGTAGGTCTTCTTAAGGCAGTTGAATACATTCTCTTAATAAAATTACATAAAACAATAATATTTTCTGATTGTAAAAGTGCTCTGCAGTCATTATGTAAATTCCCTTTTAAATCAGGTAACATTTTCCCAATTATTTGTCAAATTCGTGAAGCCCTTTACAAGTGCCATTCAAAGGGTCATTCTGTACTATTTGTGTGGATAGCAAGTCACAGTGATATTAGAGGTAACGAGAGAGCCGATATCTTAGCTAAAGATGCAGTAAATAACGGCGATGTAGATTTATATACAAACTTTGCTCATGACTTGGCTACTGTAACTGGGGCGTAGCTTGGGTTGCGTAGCGAGAGGTACTTTTATGAATTTAAACTGGAATAATCCTCAAAATATACTTTATTGCACTTTTTTTACATACTTTCGGCGTTGGGTTATATATATTCCGTTATATAAAGATGCTCTATGCTTTTCTTACTTCATTTTTCAAAACATTCTAATTACAAAACTATTCATTCAGCCAGAGATTCTACTCATAGAGTAGAGCCTAGACTACATCCCTCTTCCTCACAGCTGAAGGGGTGAATATCCCTGGTGCTCTACCTATGATAGGCAACTTACATAAGTGATCAGCCTTTACTAAAGGCTAGCCACACACTGCTCGGAAGCTATTACCTTACCAACAAGTAACCACCGAGGAGGCTATGGCTTTAGTCTGCGAAAAACCTATCTAAAAGGACAGACCATGACCACATCCTAACCAAACAAATCGAAATATAATTACTCGCTATCCTAGCTAATTAGGAAACCTGACTAAACCCTAACACTTTATTTCAGCGACGCTAGCCTGGCTGAACGATCCTAACAAAATTTCTAAACATCACTACTGAAACTTCCTAACTGTTTCCCTAAATTGTCTTCAACGTGCATGCTGCCACAATGACGAAGCATATATATTCATTCAGCCATAGATTCTACTCATAGAGTAGAGCCTAGACTACACTACACTACCTGCTATTTATCTTAAAGAATCTTGGCAAACTGTGTGGGAAACAAGCAGTAAAGCTACGGGCAGATATTTTCGTGATATACAGCCCGACATCCCTGTCAAACCCTGGTTTTCGCGTATACATTTTGAGAAACGTGTTACTTCAATCATTACAAGAATGAGATTAGGACATACTTGCTCGTCTGAACATCTTGCTAGACTTAATATAATATCTGATTCAATGTGCGAATGCGAACAAGACATTGGCAGTCTGAACCACCTTTTCTTTTCCTGTCCAAGATATGACAGTGCTTCATTTTTTCAATCTATAATTTCTTTACAAATTCCTTTACCAACATCTATTCCTCTGTTATTATCGTATAATAATTATTCCGTTTACAATGTTTTGGCTCAGTTTATAAGGAAAAATGATATTAAAATTTAGATTATTATTTATTCAATTATCATTATTTTCAGCTATTACCATCTCATTTCCTTTCATAATTTCCATTCTTCATTGGTTAGATTTACTTATAAATATACTACTTATCCTATCCTGTTGATCACCTTTCCAAAATTCCGTTTGCTTTTATTTTTGTTCCGCGATTTCCTTTCCCCGTTTTTAATTTTTAAATAATTAAACATTAACCCAACCAAAGTTCCACAACAACAACTGCTACGACAATAATAATTATCCTGAAATGTCAAGAAGCAAGAAAATATTTATTTGGAAGAATTATTAAAAATTTGCAACTCAGTGGAAATTGCACATGGCCAAAGGCTGGACGCCATAGTGCCAAACTATTAGAGAAAAAAAAGCGTCTTCACTATTTAATAAAATCAATAAACCATATTTTAATTTTTGTAAATAAAAGAAAAGCGCAAACTAAGTTTCCGAACGACGACGTCAAACGTCGACGAAATTCCGCGGGTAAAATTTTACTTTTTATTTTGTTGAAAACATTTCAATAATATTTTAAGAGTATTTGACTACAAATTTAATTGTAACAAATTATACTTGGCTTTAGTGAACCTTAGTCTCAACCAATAAATCGGTGGATTTTGTAGGCCTCGATATGTGCGGTTTAAGTTCATCGTAAAGATTGTGGACCATTCTTTGCTGAGCTGATCTTTTCATAAATTGTTGTGTATCCATTTCAAACGGATCACTACGGTCTCGCAGTTGTCTTCTTTGGATTTTTTTCATGTTATTATCGGGTGAAGCATCACTTTCGAGACACTCAAACATTTCGTATTCATCACACATGATGAAACGATTGCCTAAAAATATATGAACTCAAAATTATAATAATTATTATACAATTATGCGCAAAACAATTCAATAAAAGCTACACCAAGACACTGTAAACTGAATGGTTTATTGCTGTTGATGGTTTATTGTTGTTGTTTGACAGATCAACCGTGAACAAAATGTCAAAATAACGTTTGTAATTCGATATTGCCAGCCAAACTTCGGGCAGAAGACAGTCTAGTGTCACGTGACCGCCGACTGGCTGGTATTACCAGTTCATAATACGAAATTACAAGGCAGCTTACTTTACGGCGTAAACTGCGTGGAAATAAGAGTTCATATTAGGCCCCCTGGTCATGGTTTTGAATAGAAAGTAGAAAAATTAGATTTTTCAAAATTCGTGGAATAATTCAACAAGTTTCATGATATAAATGTGGTGTTATATGCGATAGGTATGTATAAAAATAAACTTATGTATAAATTATAAGATCGTGTGTACATTTAATGTTGTCGAGATCGCAATGGAACCAGCTGGTATAGACAATATTCATCATCACGTCCCTACAAATCAGTCGGTAGTCATTTTCAGTTCATTATAAATAGTATTTTGGGTAAGTTTCATTTTTCACAAAGTTTTAATGGAAACATGTGATTATAATATAGCGAATAAAACTTTTATTACTTTTGTTTCATAATTCTGTTGTCGAATGTTGTAATGAATAATGTTTCGTCTTAATTTTTTCAATAGGATTTTTCTTTTACTAAGAGCGGCACTTAGAAAGGAACAGTGTGTTGTAACATTTTTTAAGGAAATTTCAATGTTTTCGTTGCGAATACTTATGAAACTTTAAACAAAAGTTTTGGGGTGTTATTGTTTAATGCCGCATAACAAAGTTTATGGAGACCGAATGTCGCGGGTCTGAATCAACTATTATAATACACGTGGGCCTTAATTTATATTGCGAGCATTTTGACCATTGAACTTAAGATGAATATTTTTTTAAGATTTCAAGTGACTGGACGAACAGGTCGTGGTTATATAGCATAGCAGTTGCAGTGCCACTGTACAGTACTCAATGCTCAAGTCAGGATTTGAGCAGACTTGAGTATGATATCAAGCACTGGAAATACGACCCTAATGGCAAGGACTTGAGTATAATTTCTAGTGCTTTGAATCATACTCAAGTCCTGACATGAGCATTGAGTAGAGTTAGTTAGTAGTTACTAGAATACGACCCTGAGTTTTAAATTACAAAGATCTTAAGGCCACTACCACCGCGTCCGTCACATGTTACGTAATGGTAAATGAATTATTTACGTTCGTGGTAAATTATTCATTTAGATAAGTATTGTCTAGTCTGATAGATGACATGTATCATTTTTACTAATTCCTTTGTTATGTCGTATTATTTTGTACCAATTCATAGAAAGTGAAACATTTTTTTCAGATCTAAGAGAGATTACACACGGCGACTTTTAGGAGATTACACTTGCGATTTATAGGCGATGGCATCGATGAAAACGCGTCACTGCATCGATACAAACGCGCGATTGCATCGATGCAATCACCTATAAATCCCAAGTGTATCGATGCAATCGCGCACATGTGTAAAGGTAGACGATTAGTTGACGGCATGTTAGTATATATTCGAATTGTAATTATGTAAAATAGAGCATCTGCGATGTTTCAAATAATTTTTCGTTCACAGGTGACATTAGCATCATGGTGCGGTCGCAGAAAAAGTGTACCGCGGATGGGGCGAACCTACAGCGCACTTTTAGCGTCTCAGCGACAGCGGCTCAATGCAACTGCGACGGAGAGACCGCGCGGCCCGCAACGCTTGCGCAGGCTATCCACCGCTACCACGCAGCTCTACGACGCGCCGCCTAGAGCGCAGGTATGAGGTCAGGCACATCATCATTATAATTCCAATACACTGGATTGGATGCTGCTGTTTTCCTGTCAGTTAATACACATATATTATACCTGCACAAATGTCATAATGTCTTCTAGTTACTTATGTTATTACTTTTTAGAATCATCTTTCTATTTCTTATGTCTATTCTATACTTTTGTTGCTATGTTGTATAGAAATAGATACCAATGATTAATTGTATCTGCTACAATGCTAGTATTAAGTGTAGTGAGATGTACTACTAATTTTTTTAAATTTAGAATAAAAACAAATAAGACTTGAAAGTTAACGCGGTTTGTTGTAGAACGTAAGGCACAAAGTAGTAGTAGTAAATTTTTTGTCCTCCGGAACAAGCTAAGGTGTCTAGCTATATTTATTAAGTAATTGTTTGAGACAGCAAACCATGGTTTTCGGCGCACTTCTCTATTGATACCAGCCTCGTTTAGACTGTATTATAGCGGTCCTCTCTTCAATCTATTGCTGATTGATTGCCTTGCGCAAGTCATAAAGGTACAGACAATTTTTTTATAGAAGAGAGATTTTATACATTGGCAAAGGTTTACGTACATTCAGTCTAGTTTAAAATAATAACAAATTGAAGAACTATCTATTTATTCTAATATATTTAGAATTATATAATTTTGTAATTAAAACTAATAAAATACAAATGTTTAACGGCTAGCCTACACAACTAAACTATTTGCTGTATCCACATGTATATGGAAAATTGAACAAGCTGTTCCAACAGTTTCGTTATTTAGTTAGCGTAAATAAAGCTAACACAAGTAGTTTATTATGTGAAATTGTTTCTTCCATGATTGGTGCGTATTTTGCTACGCATGCGTATCATTAGTGAATTATCTAAATGTCGCACCCATCATGGAAGAAATTCGTAACTTTTTTAATTACTTTTCAGGACGGTCAAAAATAAGTTTTAATCGTTTATTAAAAGTTGCTGCTTTGTGTAACCTATCTTGAAGCGTAAAAAAATCCTTTACATGCGTAATTTGTTACATTTCTATTACACATTTCTAAATCATTTAAATAATCAAATTGGCTATTAATATGGCAACCTAATAGTTAGTTAATAATAACGAACTTGGCATTGCATACCTCTAGATATAATATTGTAATTTTATTATTATTGTAGCCATGACTCAAAAAGTTTGTTAATTAAATTTGGTTAAATAAATATTTATTTAGAATATAGATAAATTTAGAAATAAAAAATATGATCATATTTATTGTCAGTTACATGGTTCCATAGAACAATGTACATCTAAGCAAAGCGGACAATACGGTGTAGCCCTCCTATAGTAATGACCGCTTCTATTGAATGATCTATTTATGTAGATAAATTGTTTTTATTATTCAATATCAATCTTAATTGATTCCATAGTTCATTACTCATTTGTTTGTGAGATCACAAGTTCTATAGAAGTTGATACGTAATTTAATTTCGCTGAGTTCCGCCAAATATTATTGCCATCTTTATCATAACTAGACGTAGTTAAACAAAAAGGATGCAATGCACATCCTGTCACTTTCGAGATATGGCAGATGGGACTCGCATTTGATTATACTTTTTTCGATAATGAATTGAGATTTGACCTCACTATTGTAATCTGTCAAAACGGGCATGTGGCGGTACAGTTTCAGTTCAATGCTTAGAGGATGGAAAAAAGTAAAAGTCTAAGGTTTAATGTTATGCAAAATCAGCGTGATTGTCATTTAAAAAAGAAAAAAATAAATGTTTAGGTGTCAAGAGGCATTCCGAAAGTTACCAAAATGCAAATGAGTTACTTATAACAAGAGGGCAGTTTAGGCATTCAAAGGTATATTGTATATTTACTCACATGCATTTCAACAGACCAAACTAGGTGTAATATATTTTTTTAACAATATGGCATGGTCATAATCATAATCTCGGTTTAAGTTTTCAAACACAGGAAAATACATTACGCATACCCCACCGCGGATGACATGGAAGGGTTATTTGGGATTCTCCTCCGTAGACCCACCCGGCGATACAAGCTCGCTCCTCGGAGGTTTACCCAATAAAAAACATGTGTTTGCACCTATGCCGTTCGTGGGACCCTGTTAAGAGGCTTAACTAAGTCTTATATGTAACTTTCATTTAAATTAGAAAATTTAGGATTATTAAAATTTGACATTTTAATTAAATTACATTAAACAGCTTTACGGAGATAATATTTAATTCGACGTATGTCACCACTGGGGGTCTATTGTCGTTCTCCGTCTGACATCCGTCTCAAACAATTACTGTCAAATAAGTAATACGCAATCAAGGCAAAAGACAAAGTCAAGTATGAAGCTTCGTTCGCATCATGCCTCTTTTTAATTTGGTCGAGTGTTACTTATTTGACTGTAATTGTTCCGGATGAATGCGCAGAGCTTGTTTCACAATAAATTTAACGCCACTTGACCACTGCTTAGAGTCTTAAACCAGCTAATAAGATTTTAGTAATGAAGAAGTCTCTAAGTTGCGTGTCAGTAATTGTCATTAAATTAAATTCAACGAATTTATAAATTGCATCATATATACATAGCTTCATATAAAACCTGCAGGCGACTGCAACATAGGAATGTGGCAAGTCGACGTCATAGAAATTTATCGTGTAAATATTATCGAAGTGTATAGTAGCTTTTCATAATGAGTGTTATTTAAATTATTAATGAATGTATTTGCTTTATTTTTAACAAAAGAAGGAGCTTTTTAATTCGACTGTATGTTTTTTTTTGTATGTACAGTACTGAGCACCCATGATAAC